TCCCCTGGTTTGAAAGAACTTGCACTCGAGTTTGTATTTGAGACACCGTAATATTCGGTGAGATCTTACACATTGAAGGTGGGGTGAGTATGGATATTTGGTGGAAGTTCAATCTTATAGGAGTTGTCATTGATCCGCTCGAGTATGCGATATGGTCTAGTTCTTTTCTTTGAGCTTGTTGTGGGAACTAGACAAAATCTCCTTGAAGACCTTTTTCCGTCAATGTGTATCAGCCATTTCTTTGTATTTTGCATTACTCATTTTGAGCCTTTGGTGAACATCTTTATGGACTTTAATGTTTGGCTGAGCTGAATCAGACAAATGAACAAGATTGAGGTAGTGAGATGGAATGTACCATAAACCACCTCAAAGGGACTCTTTCTGGTCGATCGATTCACCATTGAGAGTTAAGCAAATTCAGCTTGAGGAAGTACTAGATCCCATTTTCTTGGTCTCTTTCCCGACAAGTTTCGAAGTAGATTACCAATGTCTGGTTCATAACTTGAGTTTGACCATCCATTTGAAGATGGTATGCACTGCAGAGTATAAATCGCTTCAAAGTCTTTTCCATAGGGCTCCCCAAAAGTCGCTGCGAAATTTGGTGTCATGGTCCGAAGTAATCGATTTGGGATTTCCATGATGCTTAATGACTTCTCGGAAGTAGAGATTAGCAACATATGAGCCATCCATTGTTTTCTTGCATGGGATGAAATGGGCCATTTTAGAGAACATATCAACAACCACAAAAATTGAATCCAGGTCTCTTTGAGTCCTTGGTAAACCAAACACAAAATCCATGCTTACATTGTCCTGTGGAGATTTTGGAATTGTTAAGGGAGAGTAGAGGCCGGTATTTTGAGCGTGTCCCTTTGACACTTGGCAAGTTCGCCATCGCCTCACATAGTGATTCACTTCTTGATGAATTCTTGGCCAATAAAACTTGTCCTCAACTAATGCAATGGTTTTGTCACGACCAAACTGTCCACCTACACCTTTGGCATGCAACTCATTGATGATACCCTCTTGTAGAGAGCACTTGGGTATACACAAGTGAACCCCATTAAAGAGGAATCCGTCATGGAGGAGGACGTTCCCTTGCTTACCTTCCTTACATGATCTCCACGCCTTTCCAAAATGTGGGTTATCTTTATATGGCCCTTTTATTTCCTCAAAGCCAAGGACATGCGCACCCATAGTGTTTAACAGCATAGCACGTCTACTAAGTGCATCCGCTACTTGATTAAGTCGCCCACTTGTGTGCTTTAACACTAAACTCAATTCTTGCAAGAAGCCACCAGCTTGGCATGCTTTCGGCTATGGCAACTTTGATTATTGATGTACTTGAGTTGAGTGCCTCATGGTCTGAGTTCAAGATGAATTCCTTTTGAATAAGATAGTGTCGCCAATGCCTAAGGCTTGTACAATGGAATAAAATTCCAGGTCATATGTTGAGTAAATCCTCTTAGCTTCATTGAGTTTTTTGCTAAAAAAGGCTATCGGATGCCATTCTTGATTGAGTACTCTACCAATACCAACTTTTGAAGCAACAATCTAACTCAAATACCTTTTCAAAGTTGGGCGGCACGAGCGCACTTGAGAGATGGTCTTTAACAAGTTGAAAGCTCTTCTCGGCAGGTGATGACCATTTGAATTCTCCCTTCATGCAATCAGTCAGGCATGCTGAGACGGTGCTGAAATTCTTGATAAATCTCTGATAAAATGGTGCCAATCCATGAAAACTTTGCACATCATGGATGCTTTGAGGTTTAGGCAATTCTTGGATAGCCTTTATTTTACTTTTATCCACCTGTACACCTGTAGAGGACAAACCAAAGCCTAGGAAAACTAGCAATTTCTCATGAAAGAACACTTTTTAAGATGGATATAAAGCTTTTCATTCCTTAATGAGGTTAACACATCCCTTAAGTGTTCAATGTGCTCTCTTGGGTCATGATTATACACAAGGATATCATCATAGTAGACAACAATGAATTTGCCAATATATAGACGAAGAACCTGGTTCATCATATGCATGAAAGTACTAGTAGCATTGGTAAGACCGAATGGCATAACAAGCCACTCATATAGACCCTCACACGTCTTGAACTTAGTTTTCCATTCATCATCTGGCTTAATTGGAATTTGGTGGTACCCACTTCTTAGATCACTTTTAGAAAACACTTGGGGCACCCCCCCAACATATGTAACGTATCATCGAACCTTGGTAAAGCAGTATTTGATAGTGATCCGGTTGATAGCACGACTATCAATGCACGTTGGCCATGTGCCATCATTCTTTGGGGTTAGCAATGCTGGCACCGCGCATAGACTCATGCTTTCCTATATAAACTATGTGTTGATTAGGTCTACAACTAGCCGATAAAGTTCCTCATGCTCTTTTAGGCTCATATGGTAGTGGGCCTTGTTCGGCAAGCTAGCACCAGGTAATAAATCAATTTGGTATTGAATATCCGTTTATCAGGGTAGTCCACTTGGTACATCATCAAGTGTGATGTCCTTGAACTCCTCTAAAATGGGTTTCAACTCAAAAGGTACACTCCTACATTTTACCTATTCTTTAATAACCAATGCAAACATGACTCCACTCTCATCTTCTTTCGCAAGCTTAGACAAGGTAAGAAAGTTTCTGCCCTCCTCTAGTATAGATTTGGGTGCGCTTTCTTCCTTGCTAGGCAAGAGCACGACCTCCACATTACCCATTCGGAATGTGTAGGTGTTCTTGCGGCCATATGTATGTTTCATCTATCAAACTACCATGGTCTCCCAAGCAGAGCATGTGATGTATGTCCATAAGAATGATATCACACCAATCTTCATCTTTGTAATTTTTTTCCCATGGAAAAGAAACTAAGTAGCATTTAGTCACTTTAACATCACTTCCTTTGTTGAACCATGCAATTCGATAGGGTTTTGGGTGCGGTTCAGTTTTCAGCTTGAGTTTGTCTACGATGTCTTGTGAGACAATGTTCTCACAAAGGTCCGTCATCAATAACAATGGTGCGCACCTTGCCGCCTGATTTGCAAGGAGTTTTGAAGTTGTTGGATCTGAGCCAATTCTCACCGGGTTCCACTTTTGGAGTGGTTAAAGCTCGATGAATCACCAAGCGTGGTTAAAGATCGATGAATCACCAAGCTTTCTCAGTCTCGGGTTCAATCTCTTCTTGCACCAAATTTGTTTCATTATCATAGATGGGTTTTTATCACCACATACTCTTCCTCATCCCTCTCTTCGACGATATTGACCCGAGTGTCAACATGTCGCCAGGGACACTCACTTTCTGTGTTCAATTTGGCCACATTTTAAGCAAGTAAGAGGCCGGTTAACTTGCCTCGACTACCTTCCCACTTGGGCCGACCACTTGGGCCTGTTGTGGTGGTCTTTGGAAGATCTTTACTGGTGTTTCCTCCTTTGGAGGTTTCATCCTTTGAAGGTGGGTTGAAATTGTGCACTTCCTCATACTTCCGTGCATCGCAACAGGAAAGTTTCGCCTCAACTTTCTAAGCTAGTTGATATGCATCATTAATCTTCCATATATATGGTGCATCTCTACTTCCATCACTGATTGCCAACTGCAATTCACCAAGGTATCTTGAAATAAGTTTGTTCCTTGGTTTCTTGGATGTCATGTTGTGTCATTAGTTTGTAAAACTCTTCGGTGTATTCAGCCACACTCTGTCTTTTATCAAAGTTAATTGAATTGTTAAAAGAATATCTGGGTATAAATCAACCGGTAGGAATTTCTCCTTCAACCTCAATTTCATTTTTCCCAAGATGAAATCTTTGGTTCTCCTTTTCGTTGGCTCATCTGTTGCACTTTGTCCCACCATGCCTAAGGATATCCGTGAAGCGTAGTTGCAATAAGCTTCAAATGGAGCTCCTTCAGTGTTTCCTTATAATCAAAGTACTTCTCGATGGCATTCAGCCAATCAAGAAACTCTTCCGGGTGTAGCTGGCTATGGAACTTTGTAGTTCAAATTTGATGGAGTCCTTCACGAGCCTGAGCCTGGTTTCACGGTCATCCTTTTGTCAGCGCCGATTAGCAAATGGATTAACATCCGAAACATCAGTTGAATATCCTGATGGCATGCAAAAGTGGAAGTGTTGGCAGCATCATGTAAGGAGTGTCATCCTTTGTTCTAATGCTGTGCGATAGGATTTGCAGTATAAAGTTTCATACTTTGTTCTAATGGATGGTTGATACAATTCCAAAGGTTTGTTCTTCCCTCTGGTTTTCTAAGTTTCAGAAACAATTGAAGTCTATGTTTTTTTGTTGGCTACATAACAATTGAAGTCTCTGGATGCTTAAGTAATTGGAAGGACTTGCATTTTCTTTTGTTTTGCATATAAGGTGATGGGAGTACTCGTTGAACTAGGTTGTGGATTTTGATGGGAGCAAGAAATTCAGGAACTGTAATTGTGTGGCTACTTTTTTTGGAATTCAGGAAAAATCTCACAATGGCAAAGGTGCTCATCCAATTCAGATGAGATTTTAAGGGAAACCCTCTAGGGATCATGTGTACATGTACAAACCAGCATACTTAGTTATTTGAAAATAAGTCTCCTCTATTTTGCATGCATTCCCACCTAATCTTGATGGCCCCTCATTGTTTATATGTGGATCTCCAGTATTTCATTCAGCATGTTTTTTCATTTTTATACGTTATTAGTGTTTTTTTCCTTATCGGGTTTGTTTATGGCATTCAACATACCTGCACATGTTAACTTTCCTAAATCTGGCATTGGGATGTGTTTTTTTCCTGTATCATTAGCTTTTGCTTTTTTTAATGTCAATTGAATTTAATCATGGAACTTTAAGGCATGAAATACAAGTAAAGTAAAAAAGATGGGCTTGGTACCATGAGTTAGTGCAGCTAAATCTATACTATTTGTTTTAAGCCACATGTTCCTGTAGATCAAACACTGATTTCAATCTTTTCTGTCTCTTGCATTTCTTAAATGTATGACATGGGCATCACAGACACGGCCCCATGCTACTGTTGAGGTTGAAATATCAGAAGATATGCAGCTGGTACACTTGGACTTCAACAGGTAATAAGAATTTATCATCATCTCACCATGTGTGGTGTGTGTGCGTGCGTGCATGTGCACACGTATTATCTTTTCAAGAGAGGTATCCTAGTGCAATTCTTCACTAAAACATGATCATTGTAGCACACCTTTCGAGCTGCACGATGATACTTATGTTCTCAAGGCAATGAGATTCTGTGAGACCCAGCATGGTGATGCCGCCCAGGAGGCCACTAGAGTTTCAAATGGTGGTGAAAGTTCTAGCATGCATCATCATGGTATTTATCCGCATTTGATGCCTCAGCCATCGAGGCCAAGCGCCTCTGGTAGGCTAATCACATTACCTCCGGTCCCTGGAATCCTAAAAGGGCGTGTCAAGCATGAGCATCACATGCAACCTTAGCCCTTGGCCTTGTGTATAGTATATAGTATATTTTGTTCTCTTTTTGTAAAATGTATGAGTCTTAGAGATGATAGCTACAGTTTTTTAGCGGGCTTTTTCCTAACAGATGTATGATTATGCAATATGATTCATTTCAACATGGTTGATGGAAACTGGTGCTGTTTAGGAAGGCTTGGTTTAAATTAGAATAGCCTGAGATTGGTTGTGACAATACAAGTGAGCAGCCTAGTTAGAAGAAAGGAGAAAATGAAACTGGACCATGTTGGTAAAGGTTTTTGAGTTGCGGCCATGACTTTTTTCATAAGGCCTAGGCCTTATATAAACTTTTTCTTATATTAGAAAACTTGCAAATTGATGCCCAAACGTTGGCCATCTTGTAACACATTATTAGATAGTCCATTTCAAGTGTTCACATATCTCCTTGATCTACATTGCTTTTGGAGCTTCAAATTTTGTGATTAAGGAAGAAACTAGATTTTTAAGGTATATGGGTTCTGGTGTGACCGTATTTTTTTTTGAGAAAATATCTTCATATACCATCCTTTTAAGTTTCATTTCTCAATAGATCCAGGTTTTCAAAATATATCTAGCTGCATAAAGATCTTATCTATTATATCTTCAGACCCTTTGAACCAACTTTACTATTTTTAGTCCAAACAAAATAAGAAAAAACCTCATTTTTTATTCTTTTCTAAACCTCTCCCCAAACGGAAACCTCTCTCTCTCCTCCCGTGATTCTTCAAACACCTCTCTCTCTCTCTCTTTGTATTTCTCCCAACCCTCTCTTTCCCGATGTTTTTTCCAAATATCTCTTTCTAACCTCCCCATGTTTAACCTCTTATTTGGGTTCAGCGTTTGACATTGTGGCTACTGAAAAATGGAGAATAAAACTGACAGTTTGTTTGAGATTACAACTCTCGACTTTTAGCGGTCGCCATTATCTTAGCCATCACCTTCTGTATTTGTTACAGGTTTAAACCCATTAACAACCATGAAACTGATTATGATTCTTCTCTCTCGGTCTAAAACATTGGTATTTTCTTAGAGGATTCCATTTCCTAGTACCATGGCCAAAATGAACCTCTGCTCTCATCATCTCTTCCAAATTGATGTCGCAATATCTTTTTGTCATTTCTGCCCATATTTCCTCTTTTTTTCTTTTTTTAAGAATGAGGTACCTTGAAATCTGAGATATAGAATTGCTTTTACAGAGCCTTCTACCGGGGATGGACCGTTGATATATTGTCCCAACTATTCACTTTTTTCTATTCCTTATTAAATTAAAATTAAATTAAATTCATTATCACTCCAACCTCTTAACATCTTTTTCATTCATCTCCAATCAATATCTCTTATTTAACCTTATGCCCTTGAGAATTCTGCTTCTAATTCCTTTCTCTCTAACCCATAAACATCTCTTTAACCCATGAAATTTTTCATAATTTTGGGTTTATCTCATAGCATCTCTCTAGTTCATCTTAACCCATTTCCATCTCTAATTGGGGTTAAAACAAGTGAATTTTTTTATAAATGGTGATTCTAGACTTCTTCTAACACACTCTCTACAGTACTAAAGAGAGCTCGAGAACATGCTCGCACATATTGTTTGTAGTGTTTATCAAAATTAAGGGGTCTTGCAAAGGTGACTCCAAGAATTTTACGGACACCCAAAATCCATCAAAAGAAGGGAGTTGCTTCCCTTATGGTGCAACAAGTGTCTAAAATGGAGCGGCAATTATTGACTTCAGCAACATAGGTTATGATGCAGTCTCTACAATGGCAAAGGAGGTGAAGGACCCTGCTAAAGATATACCAATTGGGGTGTTTTGGTTAGATTGTTCTTGTTACGGTGCTCTACTCTTTAATGGCTGCTGTTATGGCCAAGCTAGTCCCCTATGATGAGATTTTACCAATTGGGATGTCTGGTTTGGTTGTTCTCGTTACCGTGCTCTACTCTTTAATGGCTGTTGCCATGGCCAAGCTAGTCCAATATGATGCGGTAAAATCTCTAACTTTGTAGTGGGTTTGAGAAAAACAGGGAAGCTATGGCCAAGCTAGTCCCCTACGCTGCGGTAAAATCTCTAACTTGCGGTAGGTTTGGGGGAAACAGGGGAGAGAGAGGTTTTGAGTAAACATCTGAGAGAGAGAAAAAGAGGGGTTGGGGGAATCGCAGGGGAGAGAGAGAGTTGGGGTTTAGAAAAAAAAAAAAAAAAAATTTGGTTTTTTTGTTTTTTTGTTTGAGCTAAATAAATAGAGTAAAAAATGTTAAAATTGGTCTAGGTGGTTAGAAGATATAATATATCGGATTTTAATGTTATGGGATATGTTTTAAAACATTGGGCTCTTGAGAAATAAAACTTAAAAAGAGGGTATATATATATATATATATATATTATTTTATTTATTTATTTTTCTCATAAGCCTAGGTCTTTATGAACCACATTCATAGATACATCATAAAAGAAATGGGAAAATGACATATACCTTGTAATCAAAATCTCAAATAAACCCACGCGTTTAGAAAAGTCTATGGACCCTCTCCAAGTTTTAAAAAGAGGACATCGATCCCTTTCCTACCTTTTCATTGTTGAAATCACAATATCTATCCCCCACCTCTTTTCTTTTCTCATGATACTGTTATCTAAATCATAAACTCTCTCTCTCTCTCTCTCTCTCTCATCTCACAATTGGCTTAAACATTGCATCCCGAATTTTATTTGGGTGACAGTCATTACAGAAAAGGATAAAAATATTGTAATTTGGACAATGAAGAAAATAAAGAGGAGGTTAAATGTTATTTTCTAACTTGGAAGGGTCTATTGGCTTTTTATGGATCAAACGGTTTATTTACAATAACAATTATAAAGAAGGAGGTATGTGTCCCCCCCCCCCCCCACCCGCAAAGAATTTCAAAATATAATGAATGAAAGTTAAAAAAAATAAAAATAAAAATAAAAATTTTCTATAATTAAAAAAATGAGTTAGTTAGTATTCTTTTATTTTTCAAAATGATATTTTTTAAACTTTACGAGAAATAATAATATGAATGATATATGCTAAATATCTTTGATAGTTGTGTTGGTAGAACTATTAATTCAAGTTTATAACTTACCAAGTCTTATTCATATTTTAGAATAGGGAAAGTATACAATGAGACCGTTTACATTTTGTATAAGGTAGTCACAATTAATCTTGATCATTGGATGTGAAATTGGGTGGCTACATTTATTCCAATGACCAAGCTCAATATTCAAAGGAAAATTTCTCGAACTTTGTAATACATCCAAACTATCAAATTTCACATCGGATGGTTAAAGTAATTGTGACCTCCTTATACAATAGGTAAATGGTCTCATTGTATACAGTCTTTTTATAATATAAAATATTTAGTATACTAATTTGGACAGTAAGATATAAGTGTTAAAAAAACTCGAGACTTTTTTTATTTTTTATTTTTTAAATCTTGGTGGCGGTGGATCATCCCAAGCAATTCTTTTGCTTGAGGGAGCAAAATAGTGTTAAGTATGCTTTCCCTTGAGATGGTATATGCCCTATGTAAAATATATGCATAAACATTTAAAGGGATTTTTTTTTATTTTAGTTCCGTGTCATTCTTTTTAGATACTTAAGAAAAATATCAAAAAGAGGGATTGAAATTCCTTCTAATATCACTAAAAGGGTTAAAAAAAATTAACAAATTGCAATTGAAAATACGTTTTTAAGGTTTCTATATTGGATTGGTACATCCTCGAAAAAATTATTATTTTTTTTCAAATTGCCCTGTTTAGTTTTTGAGATACAGAAAATTTAGGGGTATTTTTATCATTTTTCATGGGCAAGGTATTGGTAGCAATGTTTAAAAATTTGACAATCCGGATCAAAATCGTACTATCCAAATCGTGAATTGTCCTGATTGTTTTTGATCCCGTAATATATAAGGATCCGGTTGTGTCCCCACACTTTCAGTCGATCCAGATCGACCCGTATCGATCCTTGATGAAACTTACCAGTCCTGTCAAAAAGCCACCACGTCTTGGAAAAATTTAAATTACAATTTTACAATATTTTTTTTAAAAAAATGAGATCTTTCCAAGAACTTATCATCAAACTTTGTAGAAAGCCGTGGGCACAAATTCACCACTAACATCACCTAACAGCTCATCATCTCTGACCTCACGCACGTATCTCTCCCCCTCTCTCTCGCCACGTGTTAGAAGTATTTGAATTGCAATTTTAAAATGTTGTTTTAGTAGAAGTAAGAGAGCTTTCGAAGAGAGCGTCATCAAACTTCGTAGAAAGCCGTGAGTAGAGCGTCATTAAACTTCGTAGAAAGCCGTGAGTACAAGTCACCACTCACGGCAGCAAACAGTTCATATCCTCCGACGTCATGCAGGTGTCACCGATGTTGTACGGATGCGTTTTATAAACTCTTATGCAACTGCTAAATCCCCGATGTGGGTTTTTTTTCCGTTTTGCTTCTTGTCAACTGCTAAATACACGCACGAACATTGGCGTCTCTTTTTTCCCAAATTTAATGCCTCTCTCTCTCACTCTTTACTTTTCTTTTTGCCTCTTATCAACTACTAAATTCGCACACTAACACGTCTCTCTCTCTCTTCCCCCACATTTGGTGCCTCTCTCTATCACTCTCTATTAAACTCTAGCTCTCTCACTACTTAGGCGTTTCCCCCCCCTCCCCCTTTCCCCATCAACTTTGGTATCTCGTGTCAGAAGGCTGTCATGTGTTAGAGGTTTTTGGCCACTTGTTCGAGGCTTTTGAATTGCAATTCTAAAATATTTTTTTTTAAAAATGTTAAACTTTTTAAAAACTTGTCATCAAACTTTGTAAAAAGCCGTGAACACAACTCACCGCTTACTTCATCCAATAGCTCATCACCTCCGACCTCACGCACGTATTTCCAATGCTATGTAGATGGTTTTTATAAACTCTTTTGCAACTGCTAAATACCTGAAGTGGGTCTTTTTTTTCTTTTTGCTTCTTATCAACGGCTAAATACGTGCATTAACATTGGTGCCTCTCTCTCTCCTCCCCCCCCCCACCCCACCCCCCCCGCAAATTTCGTGCCCCTCTCCGGATGTCTCACGTCAAGAGGATGCCACATGTTAGAGGTGTTTTTACCATGTATTAAAGGTTTTTGAATTGTAATTTTAAAATATTTTTTTTTAAAAAATTCGGACTTTCTAAAAACTTATCATCAAACTTTATACGAAGCCGTGAGTACAACTCACCACGTACGTTACCAACGGCTTATTATACTTCGTACCTCACGCACGTGTTTTCAATGCGATGTGGATAGCTTTTATAGACTCCAATATGCAACTTTCAATGCGGTGTGGATGAC